TCACCAGCACTTACTAAGAATTCTTCACGGTGCAGCCACGTTAAAGTGATTCTTACTACTTAATCTGATATGGGTAGCGGTGGACTGTCAGGTGAGCCGTCTTGGACCCCATCCGAGGGAGGCTGTTATTAGAGACACTCAGGGGCCTCCATGGCATAACTTGGTGCAATAGCACAAGCTTCCAGAAGACTAACAGAAAACTTAAGAAGTCTTCTCATCCTGCATGTCGTCTGTGGATGTCAGTTCTGGAAATCTGTGCCCAAGAGTATGGGTCTTGTGAACAACCTTAAAACGTTGAGATGGGATGGATTCCTAATGTGTTCTTTGTATGCTTTATCAAAGACACTTATTTAAAATGGTTTGTTTTGAAAGAGAAACGTATGGCTGTGTTTTGTTAAAATTTGTGTCCATGAGAAATGGTTTTTAATAACTTTAGAATTCCAAGTAAGCTTTATGGGATGTTTTTTGTGTTTACACATTTTATTGAACAGTTAACTTTACATACAAGTTTGTTGTTGTTGCTTTTGGCTTTTTCCATTCTTACAAAGCACTTCGAAATGCCTTGTCTTTCAAGGGTTTTTGTTTTGTTTTTCACCGTCCATAGTGGTTAAGAGCTCAGCTGCTAACCAGAAGGTTGGCAGTTCAAATCCACCAGCCGCTTCTTGGAAACTCTATGTGGCAGTTCTACTCTGTCCTATAGGGTCACCGTGAGTTGGGATTGACAGCAGTGGGTTTTATATTGTACCACAGAAAGGAATTTCGTGGATGTTTCCATTCTTGACTACAATTTGAGTCAATTTAATCTGAAAATAAGATTTTTTGTGTGTTCTTCATGTATTTGTAGCAATACTATTAGTATATAAATATCGTTTTTTCCTGGAAGAGAAGAGTAACTAACATAAGTAATTCAGTAACTATGGGGCCAACTGACCCAAATTCTTTGTAACATAAAATCCATTTTAACTTGGGGGAAAATCATAAAATATTAATATCCGAAAGGAGTCGCTTGAAGACAAGATTTTTGTGTGCCTCTAAGAAGCTCCTGAGGACTCAAGTTCCTTTTGTGCCAGAATCACATCTTGTGCAATAGCGCCATCTGCTGTTGTCAGCCTGACTTCGCTGCCAGTTTAGAGGGGGTTGGTTTCCGTAGTCTACAGAGTATATACAGACTGAAACTTTGTCTTCTTAAGTGCAAGGTTTATATGGGACCTTGTCATCTTTATTTACCAACCTTAAATGTGAGTACCATATGGTAATCTTTTTAACTCTATAAATGTTAACATCGTGGAAATTGATTGTTATTATCAAATATAACTTGAGATAGCAAAAGAACCTAATTTTTCTAAAATAATATTAACAGTAACTAATGAAATATTTGACTTTAATTTTTCACCGTGAAAGGAACACAGTGATTTTCCGTGCAGCAAGTTAGTATTTATTTACTTTTTGTCTGTGGTGATGCAGTTTTCAGACTCCATTGTTCTTCTGTTTTACTATGAAATGTGTGTCCTCTCTGCTGACATCTGACAAACAACTCATGGAAGTCCTTTTATTTACCAATAACGTGTTTATCAAAAGCATCAAGTGTTAATGGATTATGTTTCCTGCATGTTTACCATGTTAATGTCTAAAAACATTTTTTAATTTTGATTCTCCTCATAACTTTGTCTTCGCTTTTACCTCATGGCTGATTATGTGCTGGGCATTAATGTAGAGCAGATAAATGATAACTAGTTTTAATTCATATTTTTCCCAATCTTAAAATTGGTACAGGATTTATAAATGACAAATTGGCATGTATACTTTAAGAAACCGAATTTAAAACAGTTTACTATATATTCTTGATATGTTTTATTCTGCTTCCAAAAATGACAGGGTTATACTTAACACATACATTTGTATACATTGAGATTAAAATTTTGAGTATGTAGCAATTTAAGACATTTTTTATGCTGTTGTTTTCAGACAACACGGAGCTTAGCTATTACAGGAGGCTGAAAATGTATATCTCCCATGAACCTTTCAAATTTTAATTTAAATATCACTCTCTTACAAGCAGAGAAATTATTCCCACATTGAAGGTAGAAGCTCCGTTGATTTCCTACTGTAAGTCGGGCAAGTGGCTTTCTCCTGTCTGCCCCACCACTCGGCTGACCCTGACAGGATTTTCAAAGAAGCACAAAGAAAATAAAGTTCTACTTCTATCTGATCTTTCCCTTTCTCTTTTTATAATTTACCCACTGTTGTTCTGTTACACATACTGGCCCACTGGCCAGCTTCTGTGGTAACAGTTTTATTTGTGTTAGGAGTTGTTTGTACGTCCAGGTTTAAAGCTACAAACTCTGCAAGCTTTAGACATCAAGTACTGTTTACGAGCTCACCTCTGATGTTCAGTCCTGACGATGTGCTTTGCAAATCCAAAGGAGAGACTGTTAGAGAAAAATCCAAAGGGTCAAACAGTCGATACGTACGAGACGTGATCCTGAAGTCAGAAATGTTGTCTTTTGGTTGGGAGTTAGAGATTGTGAAGTAATCCTAGGGAGACTAGTTAAACCTGCACAAACAAATGTTACCATATTGACAAAGAACTTAAAGTTGGATCCTGTGAAATGGTATCCATTGTGATTTTTCTTCGCTGTGTTAGCACAGTTATACATGTAACTAATAAAAATATTGCCCACTGGTATAGGATGTGTTAATGTTAGTATTACCTGGGCAAAGAATCTTCTCTCATTTCATATGCCCGATTAGTACGTTGCACAATTTAAATCCAGAGGAGCTTTTATCCTAAAGCATATGGAACTGTTTGCTCTCCCAGGAGCCTCTGACAGTGCTGCTTTTATGGAGGAAATGTGTACTTCCAGAGTTGGGGGTTGGCTCTGGCAGCTGCAACTTTTAGGCATTCTGTATGTGATTTCTTACGAGGGAAGACTGTTTACAGCTGTCAGGGACACATCTTCAGAAGCTCTGTCTTTCTCGTAAATAAACTGGGCTTTGCACAAGATTGTAACGTTATATTTTGATATTGGCCAAAGTTGAGACAAAGAGTTTTGAGAAAATGTTCATTTTTATTGAGTTTAGGAAACCAAATTACTTTTGTACTCTTGTATTTATCTCCTTAACAACATTTAACCTTTCCAGCTTAGAGCTGCTAGGATGTAAAAAATTACTTTTATGCAGATAATTCTATCTTGTTGACAAACTGCTTATCACAGTTGTTTTTTAGAAAGTAAATCCAGCTATTATCCAGAAAGTCTAAAATCCCAAAATTTTTACACAAAACGAAAAAAAAAGTCCAAACCCGTTGCCATCGAGTCGATTCCTACTCATAGCGACCTATAGGACGGCCCCATAGGGTTCCCAAGGAGTGACTGGTGGATTCAACCTGCCGACCTTTTGGTCAGCAGCCGAACTCCTAAGCATTGCACCAATTTTTACACAGTAGGTCCTAATTAAACTATGTATTTTCATCAGCTTAAAAACCCTGGTGGGGTGGTTGTTAAGAGCTATGGCTGCTAACCAAAAGGTTAGCCGTTCAAATCCACCAGGTGCTCCTTGGAAACCCTATGCAGCGGTTCTGCTCTGTCCTATCGGGTCGGTATGAGTCGGAATCAACTCGACGGCGATGGGTTTGGTTTTTGAGACTAGAATTTAAACAGCATTTTTTCTGCCCAACTAGCATGTGAAAAAAATGTAAAATATAAAATGACGTACGCGTGTGGCTATTCACTGAAGCACTAATTGTAATAGCAAAAGACAGGAAACAACTCAGATGACCGTCCGTAGGGCATCTGTGGGGAAAAGGAACAAGAAAAACTGTCTGAAAGCCGTAAGACAGATGCCCGTTGCTGCTGTGAGACGGGCTGAGGGGGTCTCCGCGGCCTGGAGTGAGAGCGAGGAGGAGACAGCGGGAAAGTCGCGGGCGTGGGAGCGTGTGCTGTGCTGATTTTGTATAAGAACAAGGACGATATGTATGCTTATATGTTCAGAAATAAACAGTGGAAAGATAATCCAAAACCCAATAAAAGGATTACCTATGGATTGGGGGAGGAAGGAGGGAAAGAGTTAGCAATGAAAAGTCAGACCTCTCTGAATGACGTTTTAAGTTTTTACTTTAAAACCAAAAAAAAAAAAAAAAACCAAACTCATTGCCATTGAGTTGATTCTGACTCATGGTGACCTCATGTTTTACATATTAGAACTGCTCCAAAAGGTTTTCTTGGCTGTAATCTTTATGAAGCAGTTCACCAGGCCTTTCTTCTGCAGAGATTTAAAAGAGATTTATCAACCAAGTGCCATGTGTGGACCTTGTTTCGATCCTGATTCAAAAAACCAATTGTAGAAAAAGACATTTTTTTAGACAATCAATGAAAATTAAATATGGACTGAATAAAATGATATTAAGGAATGATTGATAATCTTGTTCAGTGTGAAAATGATATTGTAGTTTTGGTTGTTTTTTTTTTTTTTCTTAAGTCCTTATCCGAGATGCATATTAAAACATTTAGGAGTGAGATAGTATGATGTCTGGGATTTACTTTTAAATAGTTCAGGTCCACTCAAACAAAAAAAAACAGTGGAAGCAGGGGAGGGATGGATTAAATAAGAATAATAGAAATTAATGATTACAGAAGCTGGATGTTGGGTATAGGTGGGTTCCTTGTGCTCTTATTCTTGTTATATGTATTTCCATAATAAAAACTTAAAAATAAAAGTTTAAAGAAAAAACCTTCCTGCCAGATGAGCTATGATCGTTACAGCAGTGCCTTCTCAGCCAGGTTTTAGGTTTTAGAGGAGAGTCTTAGTTTGTCGGAATGTCGTGTTTATGGATTTCGGAGAGAGAGTTTCTTTGTTGTAGCTTAACTATAATGCCTTTTCTTTTCGTCCGGTTAAATGTTATAAGTAGTAAAATTTCTTCCTAGAAAGAAAGAACTTTGCTTAGATTCAGTGTTGTTAACAGGCTCACCCCAAAATATACTGACATTTACCCTCTTTTTTAGACCAAGCCACCCTGGTAGAGCAAGTAAAAAGAGTAAAAGAGATTGAAGCTATTGAAAGTAATTCTTTTGTTCAGCAGACATTCAGATCAAGTAAAGAAGTCAGAAAGGTAAGTTTTCATCCAGGCATCATGAATAAGCCTTTGGATTCCAACTGAAGAGATGTTTTTTAATGGATTTTACTTAAATGCAAGTGCTTCTTCTAATAGATGAAGGAGGGTGAGAGAGTTCAGGCATGCTAGAGAATGAATCGATGAGAATCCATTCAAGTTTAACTTGTACAAAAATATTCTAGAAAAATAAATGTATCTGATAACATTTTTATTTTAAAATTCACTGGAAAGACCAAGTAAGATATCGACCTGACAGTAAGTAGTACATAATTCACGAGCGTATGCAGTTTCCTTTTCAAATGTACACAGCTACTTTTTGAACGGACATGGTTAGAAAAAAGTTAGAAAAGGACTTTAAAAAGAAAACTATCACTCAAATAATTGCATATATCTACTGGTCACAGCCTTGAAAACCCAATGGAGCAGTTCTGCTCTGCACGCTTGGGGTTGCCATGAGTTGGACAACAGTCTGTGATTTGCCCTCTTTGCCCAGATGGGTATCACTTACTCAACTTAGTAAAAGGAGCTTCGGTGACATTTTGTTTCTGTTGAATACTTCATGTATTCTTTCAACTCATTAACAGGACTGCTTTTAGGAATTTGTTTATGTTCCTTTAGTAGGAAAAGGCGTTCTACTGTGAGACATGTGTATTCTTTTAATAACATACGTATAATGAAGACATAGTTACCACTTATTCAAAAATATTCTACATCTGTTATTGTAGAGTGGCTGCATAATATCCTGCTGATAATGAATCGTAGTTCATTTATTTGTTGTCTTTGATTGGATATTTAAGTAGTTGTAAGTTTGGAGCTATTACTTATGTCTTTGTAAATATCCATTATTATCAGCTTGAGATAAATTCTTCAAGGTACAGTTGTTGGTTAAAGGTCAGCGTTGTTTATTTTAGTACGTGTTGCCAAAGTCGTCCTCCAAAAACATCGTACCAATTCAGATTCCACCCCAAAGCGCAAGGGGATGTCTGCCTCTCACACCCTGGTCAGCACCAAGTCCTCTCAGACTTTTTTATGTTGACTGACCTGATGGGTGAAAATTGATCTGTCATTTCCGTTAGCATTTCTTTTATTACGACTGAGAGGAGTATCTTTTCAATTGCCGTATACTTCTAAAAATAACACCTTGAGGAGACATGAATTGAGTGTGTGCAGCGTGCCAGGGACAGCACTAGAGAGCCTGGATAGTCCAGGGTCCCTGCCTCATCATTTTCTTGGTTTCATTTGAACTTTTTGTAATTTGCCACTACAACTCCTAAAAACTGGAGCATGAAATGGGCATAAATATAGTTGCCCATTATCTTTAATTCTTACTCTTATATATTATACGGCCTTCCATATGACCTAACAGAATTGTTATTTATTTCAATATTTGCTTTCCTGGTTAGTACATATTATCTGAAGTTCTCCCTGACGTCCCAGTTCTCTTAGATTCTCTTAACGATAAACCAGCATTTTCCTTCTGTGGAAATACTTATTTCTCTATAGTTAATATCCTGGGGTTTTTTCTAAACAATTTTTTCCTGCTTGGTATTAAGTACTAATATTTCTCTTTAAACTTATTTTTAATTCAGTGCCTCTCTTCCAAGCTATTAGTAGCTCTTCCAGTAATTAGTGAGCAAGTAAATTAATAGAAATTTTGCTTGATGTAGTAGGAAGAGCATGGACTTTGGACTCAAAAGCTACCTGGATTTCAATCTTAACCCCCACCATTTCTACCATTGTTTATGATTTTGAGTAAGCTCTCTCAACCTCTTTGGGCCTCAGTTTCCAAATCTGTAAAAGAGAGTTAATAATACCTGCCTTTTTAGTTGTCGGAGATTAAATACAATGACTGTCTAATAGCTGGCATGGATCCTGACCCAGTAAATGTTTATTTTTAAATAAGATACTCTAGCATCTAAATTGGAGTCTTTGGGTGGTGCAAATGGTTAAGCATTCAACTACCAGCCAAAAGGTTCAAACCCACCCTGAGGCACCTCAAAAGAAAGGACTGGTCATCTGCTTCTCAAAGGTCACAGCCTTGAAAACCCAATGGAGCAGTTCTGCTCTGCACACGAGGGGTTGCCATGAGTCCATATCAATTCGACAGCAACTAACAACAACAAAGAATCTAAATTGTTTGATATCTCTGTGTAAATTCTGTAAACTAAGCATAGTTCTGAAAACTTCTGCTACTCTTGGTGTTCATTCTGTCTTAAGTGTAAACACCTTACCCCATTCATACTTCCCTGATGCCCCCTTGTTTTCCTAAGTCTCCGTGCTCACCAGTAAGACAGATATCTTACTGAGAAACACAGAAACTCTTTGCATAGCTGGCTCACCAGAGAAGTCTTTTGAAATGTATTCATGTAATAATATTTGTATGTTTGAATTCGAGAATTAGTAATGTTTTTGCCACAGTTTATCCCCTAGAAAAGTTTTGAAAGATTATTTCTCTGTAGGCTGTAAGGTAATCGTAAGATAACTGACTAAATGCACAGAAAAACTCTTCTTGCCAAATTTATAACAAAACTCTATATAGTTAAGTGACTTCCTGTGGGATCATGTAGCCCTGGTGGTGCAGTGGTTAAGAGCTCGGCTTCTAACCAAAAGATCAGCAGTTTGAATCCACCGGCCACTCCTTGGAAACCTTACGGGGCAGCTCTGCTCTGTCCTATACAGTCACTATGAGTCAGAATTGACTCGATGGCAGTGGGTTTTGGTTTTGGGTATGGGATTATACGGAGGAATTTTACCTACACCTCTGATCAGAGGGATCACCGTTATTAACTGTTTTAATAATTCGTTTCTGTTTGCTCTTTTCAAATTTGACGTAGATTTATAGCGTCACGTTGAAATTCGCTCTCACCTTCAGTCTAGCTTTCCTTGTACTTCTAACTCATATGCCTCTACTAGGGATTGCGGGGACAGGGTGGAGTGCGGACCTCTGTAAGCGCCTTCACAAACTTAGATGAGGAGAACTCATCTTCTGTTGCAGCTATCTTTTCAAAGAGATTTCCCTCAACAACATTTCACAGAGAGAGTAAAGTCAATTCTGGAAAGCCCAGAACTGGCTAACCCTCTCTTCTGGTTGGATACGTATGACAGAGCAGCAAAAACAACTTAGAAATATTACTAATCCAGCACTGTGAATTGAAGCTACTTAGAAATGTATTTAGTTAAAATATTTTATACACATTTCTATTTCTTTACTCTCAAATGAAAACCAAATTACAGTAAATCTGGGGCTTGGCCGTTGGGAGGCAGTGGTCAAAACATCATGAGATGTCGGGTCAAATCTGGAGCCAAGTTCTGATTCCGCCATTTATTGGCTGTGTGTCCTTCTTCATGGCCTTGGCAGACCAGGGCCTCCTGTCTTGCAAGGGGGTTAATGCCCACGACAGTCTTTTGTCAGAATGGCCAAGACACCTTACGCAAAACTGAGCAGAGTGACTGGCACATGGCACGTACTCAAGAAATGGAAGTTGTCTCTACTGCCGCCCACACTGCCAGCCACTGTTAGGACTTCTAGTGAATAACGGGGGCCATGTGTGTCTGTGGCTTCGTTAGGAGGAATTGTGGATGCAAGGACTCTCGTTTTGGTTGGGTCAGAGATTGTTTTATTTAATTTTTTATAGTCTGTAGACCCTAAAATTCTCCTCATTGGAGGTTTGGTGACCTATTGTGTTTCTGAGCAAATAGTTAAAAGTACTTCACAGAGCTTTACACGGTGACTTACGGGCTTCATGTACTAATACCAGCTTTGGACCAATTTATCAGTTTAGCCCTCTGGAAACATTAGAGCACTCAGCACATGGGGTAAACAAGGTTGTATCCTACTCCCACTCTAAATGTTTAGACAACTTGAAATAATTAAAATAATAATGACTGCCCTTAATACTAGATATTTAACATATATAATTTCTTATCTACTATCCCAGTAACTCCTCTTTATAGATAAAGAAACTGAGGCTCCACAGATTTTATAACACCCATGGCAAAACTGCTAATAATAACAATGTCCACATCCAAACCCAGTTTATCTAACTCCAGAGCCCATGTTTTTCCTGTTAATCAAATACCTCTCATGGTTGAAACTCGATGCATATTCTCTGCTGAAGTTTAGCGAAAGCATGCATCAGAAGGTAGGAAGTGACCCCAACAAGGGGGCGTACCAAAATACCTCAGAAGATGGTACTTACCATGGTGAATGTCCAGATCTTAGCCGTCCAGAACTGGACCTCGTCAGTTACTACACTTCAGGATGAGCCGACTAACAGTGAATACGTTCACACTTGACCGTAATATGGGACAGAGTATTAATTTAGAAAGTGATGCTCACTTCTAGTTTCTAAATATCTGTCTGCATTATAACATGGGGACTCAGGATGCCCAATAAACTGAATTATTTATCAAGAGATTACCTAGGAAACAGGGGTAAATTATCTGGAGGACATTTCATCCAGATCCTGGGGAGACCTGATGGGTTATCCCTGATCCATAACGAAGGTTAACTCTCTTTAGGACCAAATTACCCACGACCCCAGTTTCAACATCCTTCTCTCCTGGACAGTGTTGCACATTTTGGTATAAGGCTTGTATTGCTGAGAAAGACTTCTATGCTAGCCACCCCTTCAGCTGATGTAGTCTCTCTTTGGCTGTGTTAATCCCACTAATTAAGCTGGGGAGCTGTTGCCAGACAAGTGGCTATTACCAATGACATGCAGACATTGTGTCTCCTGCAACATATTGATTCAACTAGTTTAACTCTCCATAATCATATTTCTCCTGACGGAGGAAATAGAGAATCTGATAGCTCCTGGTATACCATCAGCCCCAGGAACCAAATGCAGCTTGTTTTCAAACTGCCGTCCCAGATCAGCTTAGTATCAGTTATTCAACTCTGAAGTTACTGTATCTGGCAGATATCCACCTGTGTTCAGAAGGAGAGTAAATAACCCTGTCTAGCATGATCGTTTGTTCTTTTACTTGGAGAACATTCTGAAACTAACTTTTCTAGACTGAACCGCCAGGTGGCAGTGCTACTCGGGGCCAGCGGTTTGACAGTGGCCATGTTGGTTTTGTTTTATAGTCAAGCTAAAATTTTTCTTACAGTTTTCCTCACTTAAATAAAGTTTTTAGTTGCCTCTTAAATAACTTCCATGCTATGTGATCCTGACGTCTGAGAGCTTCCTCTTATCTTTAGATTCCAAAAACCAAACAAACCCATCACCATCGAACTGATTTTGGCTCACGGTGATCACATGTGTTACACAATACAACTGCTCCTTAGGGTTTTATTGGCTGTAGTCTTTCCAGAAGCAGATAGCCAGGCCTTTCGTACACAGTACCACTGGGTAGGTTCGAGCTGCCAACTTTTAGGTTAGTAGTCAAATGCAAACTGTTTGCACCTCCCAGGGACCTCACGTTTACATCTCACATACTTCGGACACGTTATCAGGAGGGACCAGTCCTTGGAGAAGGACGTCATGCTTGGTAAAGTAGAGGGTCAGTGAAAAAGAAGAAGACACTCAATGAAGTAGATTGACACAGTGGCTGCAACAACGGGCTCAGACATAGCAACAATTGTGAGGATGGTGCAGGACTGGGCAGCATTTCGTTCTGTTGGACACGGGGCGGCTGAGTCAGAACTGACCTGACAGCACCTGACAACAACAACTCCAAAAACAAAATGTAATGTCCTGTGAACATTGAAACATTAGAACAGGATGAGAGTCCTAGATTTTAATCACAGGACACCATTTCTGCCCCCTGAGCATGTGGGATCCACATCTTTGGCAACCTGAAATAACAGCAGTGCACGCTTTTTCAAGGCAGTTCCACATGGACAGCCAGTCTCCTAGCTGAGTCCTGTCAGAGCCTGGCTGAGATACGCAGAACAACATCCTCCTTCATTCTCTGCTATCAAGTCGTTTCTGACTCGTAGCGACCCTATAGGACAGAGTAGATCTGCCCCATAGGGTTTCCAAGAAGCAGCTGGTGGATTCGAACTGCCAGCCTTTTGGTTAGCAGCTGTAGCTCGCTGTAGCTCTTAACCACTGCACCACCAGGGCTCCAAAAGCCATACTGTGAGCCTCGCTGGATTAGCGTGGTGAGCACTCAGGAAGTGTGGCAGGAACTGAACGTCGGAACTTCATAAGATGGCAGAGAAATCCTGGTTTTATTTTTTGCCAAAGATATACATTTGTTTCAACTTTTATATTTTTTAAATGTCTTAAGTAACCTTAAAAGATAACCTTTGATTCTACCAGTTGATGAATGGATAATTAAAATGTGGAATATCCATACAGTGGAATATTATTCAGCCATAAAAAGGCGAGTACTGATACATGCTTCAACATCAGTGAACCTTGGAGAAAAAACATTATGCTCAGTGAGAGAAGCAACTCACAAAAGGCCACGTATTGTATAATCCGTTTATATGAAATGTCTAGAATAGGCAGATCCACAGTGACAGAAGGTAGATTAGTGGTTGGCTAGGGATGGGAAAGTGGGGGAAAATGGGGAGTGACTGCTACCGGGATTGGAGGGGAAGGTGAGGATGTTCTGAAATTGATTGTGGTGATGGTTGCACAACTCTGTGACTGTACTGAAAACCGTTGAGTTGTGTGCTTTAAATGGACGGATTATGTGCTGTGTGAACTATATCTCAATAAAGCTGTTATTATCAAAAAAAGATAACCTTTGAATTTGCTTTTTATGCCTAAAGAGGGCAACTAAATGCTGGAGATTTGTTGCAAGCTTTTCTTTGAGTAATAGAATTTAGATACATGAAACAAATATTTCAATAATATAGACTCATAAGCATCTATTTCTTAAGAAAAAATATGCTAATTGTAAGAGATAATAAACATTTCCCAACTTTTTTTGTAGATTGTTTGTTTAGGAATAATTGTTTATCATTCAGAAACCCAGAACGTTATTGAGATAAGTATCATCTCAAAGAAAACTAAACTGAGCAATTATTATTCAAAATCAGAAATGTTTCTGGTGTAAAATTCTAATTGCATATTGTGTTCCAATTAATAATATCTTCCAGTCCGTGGAACCCAGTGAAGTGAAGCTTGCAGCTGCGGCATCAGGACCAGCATCGGGAGCCGCTGACCCGCCCAGTGTTGAAAAAGAAGCAGACCCTAGCTGCATCCCTACTGCCATCAAGTACCAAGATGACAATTCTCTGGCCCATCCGAATGTAAGATCCTTAAAGCTTCAGCGTGTCACTGGAACTCTGGTTGACTGAAATTAATTTGAACTGTTGTCCTTTGGAGCTGGCACAAGAATGCTGGAGGAAGTAGATTCGTGTGTTCCTATTTGCTGAAATTAGAGAGCTGACCCTCAGCCCTTAGGGTTGTCACATGTATTTGAATCCCATATACCCCAACTCGTTTTGTTTGACTTATAGAAGTATTCTTTCTATGGTTAAGAGAAATAGGCAAAGACAAGAGTTTTTTAAGTCAGGCTCTGAAAGGTCCAATTCTGACCTAGCTCTAGTTTGTTCATTGCCCATGAGCATGTCACCAGCATCCTGTTTTGCTGTGTCATCTGTGAAATGGTGTGATTCTGCTGTGTCTCTAGGAATAGTTGTAGGAAACGCGCTTGACAAATCTAAGGTGCGGAATTGTTAGCGGGTGGTGTTGATGTTACTCCTTTTACTCTAAGGGCTTTTGAACATTATTAATTCCAAATAGATGGACTTCAGTTAAGAAGTCAGCAAGAGTTAAGCAGTGTCCAAACGTTGTCCTGAAGTATGTATTCTACAAAGATTATTTGTATTATATGAGGTTGAATCTAAGTTATTGGCAGACAATAACATTTTTTTTCTGTTTCTTTTTATTGTTTCAGTTATTTATTGAGAAAGCAGAGGCTGAGGAAAAATGGTTCAAGAGATTAATCGCTCTCCGACAAGAAAGGCTAATGGGCAGTCCTGTGGCCTAAGAATATACGTATTTTTGAAATGATGGTAATGTTAGAAATTCAGGTTTTTAAATCCCAGTGTTAACCTTTTGTGCTCAAAAAGAGTTTAGCTTATTATATAAAAGGGCAGTCTTGTTTCATTCTTTTCCCATTTAGGTAGGCTTTGAACTCAAGCAAACATTGTGGGTACTAAAACTAGTGTAAAATTAAGATGCATGAAAATGTTATACTGTTAATAAAGCTAATCATAAAATATCCGTGTTGATATGAAAGATACACAGTAGTGTTTCTGAGTAGAATTTGAAAAATGTTGGGTTTTCGTTTAAAGAATTTTGATTAATCATGCATATATGAGAATCAAACAACATCCTATAAATAGGAGATTTCATTTACTTTGTATTATAAAACCATTTTTAAACCTTTATTTCACCTTATTACAAATTTTAAACATAATAAAAAAACACTAAATAATCTAAGAATGAGCATGTTAAACTTAAAAGGATAATACATTTATTTTAAAAATTTCTCGAAATTTAAATAAATTGGTGATTTTGCTTAGAGATCAGCTTCTACTAGGCTACTTCTTTGAAACGTGTTAGAAGATCTCAGCTCATCCTTTCAGAAATCACACGTTTATGCTACATCTCACCAGATGGCCAAATACACAAGATGGGGAAAATCATTTCTGCAAAAGCTGATAAGAACTCTCCCTTCAATCTTACTTAACCAGCTGCTGTTCCCTGCAGAGGAAGCCAGCTAATTGTAGTCTTGATAGGGCTCTCTCTTGTTGTAGAAAACCTTTCTCTACAAGCTGAACAGAAGTCAACCCTGCATTCCATACAGAACTTGCCAGAGATAAGGACTATTAGGTCTTGCTTTCCAAAACTAGTTTTCAACAGTTGACATGAGTACTTCCCTTTCTATGCTGTAGAGTTGTCCAAGCCCACTCTAATGTACTGTCCATGAAGACTGCACTCCAGAACACAAGACAAGCATGAAGAGCCCTTGGGGTAGGATTACTAACATATAGGACATTTTAATGTCATCTTTTTTATATCTCTGGAACTACTAAAATCCTAATCTCTGTTGAAAACGAAAAATATAAAGAGCTTACACTCAAATGCAAAAGGCATGGAGAATAGACTAATGATGAAATACTTGTTTTCATACAAACATGTTTTTCCATTTTAAGTAGATACTAGTGTTCTTTTTCCCTTAACCCATTGCTCGTCGAGTCGATTCCGACTCATAGCGACCGTATAGGACAGGGTAGAACTGCCCCGTATGGTTTCCAGGAAGTGGCTGGTGGATTGGAACTGCCTACCTTTTGGCTTTTAACCACTGCACCACCAGGGCTTTTTTTTTCTTTTTTTTTCCTTAGCTGAAAATAAAATAAAAGTCCCAGTATTAACTCAAGTTTGTGTGGTTTTTAATATAAACCCATTGCCGTCAAGTCGATTCCGACGCATAGTGGTTTTTAATATGGATATTGAATTTTTTTCATTGTACTTTAGGTGAACGTTTACGGACCAAATAGTTTCTCATTAAACAGTCAGTACACGTATTGTTTTATGACATTGGTTAACAACCCCACGACATGTCAAC